AGTTTTTCGTGATTTTCTCGACAATCCTTAAGATAGTTACATCATCGACCACTGTATGAAAGCTGAATATTTTGTCTTTCCAACAAGCCTACATACATCTTCGTACTGTCATCGAGTCGCTTGCTACAAGCTGTAGAAATTGAAAAAAAAAACACATACTTAACGTGTTATACATAACAGAGAAATGACGGTTTTCGTCAATTTGAAAACTAATACATATCATTAAATATTTTTAACTAACGTTTGTTTTATTTAAAAGCTTTCATATATTAAAATAATTTACAAGCGAGTATAAGAAATAAAATAAAAATAATCATCTCTCTCTATAACATATATAGTATATGAACAAAAATAATTAGGAGCAGTCTTGTGTAATTAATTGGATTAAGGAAACGATTAGTTGGCCCCGTTCGCATTACCCATCCTTTGCTTAAACTTCTTCATAAATTCCTTAGCCTGTTTATCCCCAAGTCTGTACTCTATGGCTTTAATAGCTTCTGTATCTGCAATGAACAAAACGTTTAAAACTCTACACATTTTCACCATAAAAGCAAATAATTACTTAAGTTGGCGGGTCGAATGAGTTGCAACCGTATCTGTGGTAGAGTATCGAAATCGTCTGTTGTTTTTGGTATGTTTTTGAAAGGAACGAAAGCTTCTCCGATATACTGATTATTGTAGCCCATTAGATTCGAATCTTTGACACTGAACATCACCAAACCATCAGAGAGATTCTGCTGCTCGGACGAAATCACACTGCCAAAAAAAGAAATACGAATCAGAGCTGCGAATATAAAAATTTCAAAATTTGCAATTACATTTGGAATTTTTCATCGTATAGCGGAAATTTGTTTTTGTAATGCGTCTGAGTTTTGGGCTTCGAAATTCCGATGAATTTTTCTTCTGGAAGCAAATGGACACGTACGAATGAATCGCACAATCCTAAAAACAACTTGAATAGTAATTTATTTCTTCGATATTCGAAGATTTATTACCATTGGAATCCATTGCAATGAGATTTCGTGCATTGATCATTTCCACGTGCATATCGCTGTTGTGGAATTTGATGCGGACTGTAAGTTCACCGTATTGGCTTTCAACGAGTTCCTCCTGCTCGTTGTAAAGGTCCAAGTGGATCTGATGGATGAGATCTGAAGTTTCGAAGCCGTTCAACTGAAGCAACTTCTGAATTCGAGCCAATTCTATGCATGAGGAATCCTCTGAACACTTGAATGATTTGATCATTATCTTTAGTGTTTCGTGTAAATTCGCGAAGAATGAGGGCGGTCTTCTTTTCTGAAATGTTAACAGACGCAATAAGAGAATTTACCATTCTTGGCCTAATGGCGTTGAATTACTTCTAAATTAGACTGGATCAATTCTTCGAGGATTGTCGCGAGCTGCGCCCAAATAATATCGAGAGTTTTGTTGAAGTTCTCTTCGTTGAGTTCTTCGTGAAGTGTAGCCAGATTGTTGTCTAGATACCTTAAAACGCGATCTATGCTATTGTTATCTTGATTGTAGAGTTCTGCGCCTTCGACCAAGAGCCTCTTCATGGACGGACACATTTTATCAACGACGGTCTCCAGCAATTCGATGATCTTATTTTTTACTGTATCTATCGCATTGTCGATGACCGTGTCCAACGTTCTTCGACACCTTTCTGCTTCCAAGGGACTCCTCAGGTCGGATAACTTTTGCGTCACGGCGTCCTTGCCCAACTCCTCGGTAAAGGGCTGCAGGGATTTTCGCACGTAATCAATATTATTTATTGCCAAACACCATTCACTGGTAACTTCGAACTTCTGCTCGTAAACGTTTCTAATATCGCCCATTCCTTCCACACGCGCAGACATTTTATCGGCGTAGTACACGCTACATTTGCAAATATCCTAAACAGATCAATTAACTTAATAATTAAAGGAACACAAGATATAAACAAATATTCTACTCACGTCAATTATTTTCGCGATGAATGTGTAACTTCCTTCAACATCTGGCCAATTCAGTTGCTCCCAAAACACTTTGATCTGAAAGCAAAGCAATTTTCAATATTGTAAACATTTTTATTTCAATATTGATTTCTGTTTACCTGATAGAAGATTGTTAACGTGTCGACAGCCGAAGAACTGTACTTTAGTGTCGCGTCCACCGGATTCAATGTATCCAATTCAACGGCTTTCTCAATGCGCGTTAAAGCTTTGAATACGGCAATATCCAGCCACTGTGCCACTCCTGAATAGAACCAGCTATAAAAGTTTCGGATATGGAAGGTATCGACCTCTAAAGGACATAGCCCAGATCCCAAACTAATAAAATTTAAACAAATATAATAGATGAATTGATGAAGCACAAATATATGTATATGTATATATATACTTACATTACGAATCTTTGTAGTACTAAGTACAGCTCGAAAAGACTGGTGCCAACCGTTAAGGGCTCTGTTGATTCTTCGGCAGCCGGTTCGAAGCCATGAAAGGAAAGCCTCTTTAGTGATTTGCAAATATGAAGGACTTCTGGTTCGGCCATGGTGGCGATTTTCACTTGGTAAATCATATAGAGCGATTTGGCGTAAGGAAAGTTAACGATATTTTTGAAAATTTTATCGTAAAACTCGGTGGCTCGCTGCAGATCGGTGCGTATGAGCTGCGTGATTTTTATGAGGTGCTGGAGCTTTCCGATGTCGGAATCATCGCTCCTAGGACTATTCTCCAATATATGACAGAACCAATCTTCTGCGCCTCTCTCCACCGCTTGAGTCAGTGTATTCCTAATATCCCACCCGTCGGAGGCGTTCATCCATTGGTATAACTTTTCTGGAAACAGATTCGTTCCTTCTGGAGGTTCCAGCATGGATACTTTCGAAACACATTCCAATACTTCGATCAGCTGCTTCATGGCGGTCTTCTCGTTCGAGCACTTCCTTCTAAGCTTTCTGATCACGGCGAAGACTGAAGGCAAAAGCTTTTTGGTAGCGTCCCAGAAAATTTTCAGATCTTCATCGCACGGAATCTGCGACTGCACAGGCTTAATCAATTTTTCGAGAAGATTGGAGAAGAGATTGAAGCTCAACGGATGATTTTGATGGATGGCGACGAAGACGGCGTATTGAGATAGGGCGACGTCTATAGGTTGAAGTCCGCTCTGTGCTATATGCTGACTGAGGAAGGTGTTGGCCTTACCGCTGAAAGTTCCTGACCACCAGTAAGGTGCAACCTAAATCATAATTATAAATGATTATCTTATATATCTTCGATGGAAATTTAATTTAAAAAAAAAGAAACTTACTTTAGAATGCTCAAGCTCGTGTACAAGTAATAGCCTAAGTAAATGCCGGTGCTCCTGCGCCGCAACTTGACTATTCTTCTCAGAACTGAAGTTCAGACGCACCTTCAAAACACCCTGCCTATTAATCTTGTGCTTCTTATCTAAGCTATACCACATGGTCATTCCAGTAACGGGAATAGCCTGTAAATATTAAAAAATATATTTATATTTCGGTTACTGGAAACATTTATAAATAAATTACGTTCAAAGGAATCTTAGCCCTTCCGATTAATTCGTTTTCATGTTGTCCAGTCGCTGCGGTGATGGCTATTTCCTTCACCAGCTTCCTGATTCCCTTTACACCTTTCACTTCGAAGAACTTGCCAAATTTCTCTCTCACACTCTCTGCGGCATCAAAATCCCAAACTTCTAAGCATAGAGTATCTTCGGAATTCTCACTGACTGGTCTAAACAAAAAAAAATACGCATACATTTACTACTACAATAATATTATTTTAAAAGTAATGTTTACTTACAAAGCAAAATGTTCTTCCCAGGTTGGGTTTAATGTTGCGCTCTTCACGGAGGTTGTGTATCTGTGCTGAGCGTTTGAAGCCAAAAACAACGTGACAAATGGATCACTGAGTCCATTGGAGTCTTTGGAACGTAAGTCTTTGGCTTCGATGACCTCGACGTTGAGATGTATTTCAGGGGCCTCCTTACTTTTGGCCTCTTCCAAAAGCTCCTGGTGTTTGTTTGGAGATATTTTGAAGGCGTCTTGCAGATAATGGAAAAGTTCCTCCTGTCCGAACTCGCAAGACTCGTCGCATCCGACATTGTGCAGGGTCTGGTAGAGTATTTCGGAGTACAGCTCGTCGATCTGAAAATTCGAACAAAGTTTGTAGTACCTCTGAATTGATGCATCATCTGATCAGAACGGGCTGTTGCGTTACGGTCATGTTGGCCATATAATTGCTGGTTTGCCGTTGGAGCACATCCTTACGGACGCCTCGGAAAGGGTTGATGCCGTGCACAGACCTTCGACGGATGCGTGGAATTGTCCTGGTGCCCAACATTTCTTGTCTCCGGTTTACGGACGCGAGGCTCAGCGTCGACGCGAACATCGCGTGTAGCGCACTCAGAAAACCGGAAAAATCTACTGGTTCGGGACGTCGCGACGCATCCAAGTGCCAATTCTATTCTGGTCAGAGCACTGATTCAGACTGACGGTATTGAGAGAAGCGCGAAATGTTCTTTCACACGGAAACTGGTGGGGCGCATCCCGTTCTATTCTTCGGGGGATTTACTAAATGTTTCTGTATCAATGTTTCTTTTGATACGACAATTATTTATCAGTCCAATTGGATGGATCGAGCGACGTGAACGAATGCGACATGGACGGCAGTTCGCGTCAAACTAATTCGCGTACTCCATTCTTATGATTGATTAACACGTTTTCTTTTCTTATAGAATTCAAATTGAAACAGCCTCAAATACTTCGAAAACACTCGTGACATAGACGATGTCTATCATATTTCAGCATTTCGAAAAAATACAAAGTTTAAATTTAACACTGAACTAAATCACCCAACTTTCGTAAAAATTGGCAACTCAAGTGGTCCTTAGATTATATTTGTCAATGCCATTTGTTTAATACTGATTTTTCTTAACATCATCATCAACTTAAGAGCTTAACAAACTTCAAATACACATAAATAATGCTTAAACTTAGTTAAGCTAAGTAATGTTTATCTAGAAGTAAAATAAAATATGTATTTATTTAGGATCAATGCAGATAGTCTCAATTGGTAATTGTAATTACAAAATTTTCAATGGCAAGCAGTTGGGTAATCGACCTTAGATTTTTAATAAATAAAATTGTTAGATAAAAAGAAAATCGACAAATTTACGTTTTACATTTTCTAATCGTATTGAATCAATCGTCTGGTTATTACGCACACATAAATTATAATAATTAACAACAATTAATTGTTTTTTTTTAATCTGGGGGATATACCATTATTGGAATGATACTTTATCGCGGAACTTCCGTTCGTAGTGTGAATTCCCCCGATTGCAGGGAATCCTGCAGTGAAAACGACCGCAAAATAAAATAAAGAAAGTATAAACAAGAAATTTGGCATTGAATTTGCGGCCACCGCAGTTCGGGTCAATTGAGAATAGATTTTTCGGTTTTCTGAAACATCAGACTCATTCAGCTCCGTACGGTCTATAAACAGATGTGAAAAAAATGCGGCTTACGCAAAACGCACTATTTATTAACGTTTTTCTATATGGACTAAAAATAGATACATATTTTTTTCTTTTCACGCTCCATCCCGAAACGTCGAGCCGCAATTGAAATACCTTTCAGCAATTGAAACCGATCGAACGCCAAAACGAAAAGTTCGACGATGTTAAATATAATTAACCAGCAGCCACGACGAACAGAAAAGCAAATAAAAAGAATCACACAAACGGCACAAACAAATCCTGAATGTCATCGTCGCTTTGGACGCTCGCCAGGATTCTTTTATTTATACCAAAATTGCGTGAACCAGGTTAAGGTTTACGAAGGGATCCGAAGAATAAAAATATATACTCACATTCCATACGACTGCGATGTAGTCCTCCGGTTCCGTCTCCTTCTCCGTATCCGAATCAGAGGTGGCTTCAGAGGTGGCTGTGGCCGTGCTCTGACCATCCTCGACTCCGCTATCATCGTCTTCACTTTCCTCCGGTATCGGTTTGATCGCTTCCGCGGCTGCTTCTGCTAGCTTAATCTTTTCCAGGTTCTCCAACGTGCTCGAGTTCTCGTTGTGCTCGGCCAGCAAAGATCCGAACTTCTCGAAGAAACTGTTGTCATGCTCCTGAAGCCTGAAAGACTTGAATATGAACATTTGTCTCGTAAACACGCACGATGGTCGCGCAACAAATGAAGTAAGAGGAAACAAAAAATAAATTGATAATCCCGGCTTCGTTTGGAAATTACACATGTCAATTTGTTACGTAAACAACGTAAATTATTGTGATCGTGTATCTTTCTGAGTGGATAGGATAGCGTGGTGGTAAATTGGACATGGCGAAAAACTAGCAGGAAAAATTCCATATAGCACTGTTAATCGAGATAATTGAATAGATTACATAACGCTACTTCCAATAATTGATGCAACGTTAAAAAAAACATGATGTATTCTACATGATTTAAACTTAAAATCACAGAAAATTAGTTTTGTTTAGAGCAATTTTTGATCAAAGTCTATAACCAACTTCTTTAAGTGGATTATTTCTGAACCTCTTAGCATTACATCATCATGCTCTACTAGAATGAGTTACGCATTAATTATTTTATATTAATTCAAAGATTCGCTTGGCACTTGACCAACTTCTGTAATATCATGCAACTCTTCAATGTTTATATCCTTATCTCCCTTTTAATTTCACTACTTACCCTGTCGTACGTCGAACTATAAATGCCATATGTTTGTATTCCTATAAAACACTTTAGAATATATTTACAACAAATTTGGACTTATATACCAGAGAGAAACAAATTTTTAAATAAAAACATCAGTAAATGATTAGAATACTTTCTAAATTTATTTATTTCTTTTCTGGTCCTTATCAATTCGGCAATGATCTCATCGGTTGCAATATCTTTCTGTTTTTGTCTAATTATTTTTCAAAATATTCATCACTTGGTTCATCAGAGATGAGAGACTTGAACGATGTCAATCACCTCACCATTTAATCTGTAAAAATACCAAAACCAAACCAAAGTATTCGGCATTCCATATACGCTTTTAGTAACGTTTTCAGCACATATTTCAATACTGGGTTATGTTTTTATTTTGGTATTTCCTTCTCTGAAATGTTTGTTCATAATTAACACGATCGTAAACATTGAAACCAAGAAATGTAAAATAATCAATTCATGTTACATAATTAATTCTAATTTAATCAAATTGTATTATAATTGAAATTATAAAGCNNNTTCAGATAATTTCAATCAAAAATCCAATATAAAGGTGTAATTGTAGTAATCAATTTAGGATTTTAGGTTCTTAAAGGTATATCATTTCTTTTTTAATATAGAATGTGAAATTTAATTTCAGAATGTGGTTCTTAATTATCTTTCTTATTGTATATTATACAATATGCAAGAGAGTATAACTGGTTGCTGGCAAACTTGTTATTTTTCCTATACGAATATTTTATATTCTATTTTAACAAAAAACCGGTTCAAAATCAAGGATTAATGACGACTGTATGATGTAAAAATAATAACGGCGTTTATTTAATCAAATAAATCACAACAGCAACATAAAAACAATAGTATACAGAAAATATTATTATAGCCTAGGGAATTTGTATCTATTTTCTTAATAATTTGCTCTTAAAATTTAGAATTGGAAGACTTTAATTGGAAGATCTGGTTAGTTAAATAATTCAGTTCAATTGGAGTGCAATTTATGTGAGACTACCGATGCAGATGTACTTGTAGTAGGTGTAATCTTCGATGCCGTGATGAGAGCCTTCGCGACCCAAACCCGATTCCTTGATGCCACCGAAAGGAGCCTCTGCTGCAGAGATAATACCTTCGTTCACTCCGACCATTCCGCATTCTAGCTTGTTGTAGACGCGGAAGATTTGCGATACATCCTGGGAGTAGAAGTATCCTGCTAAGCCTCGCTGCGTTCCGTTGGCGATAGCCAGACCTTCTTCCTCGGTCTTGAACTTGATGAGGGTGGCCACCGGTCCAAACACCTCCTCCTTGTACAGCTCCATGTCGCTGGAGATGTGCGTCAAAAGGGTAGGCTCGTAGTAGAGTTCGCCGTAAGCAGTTGCAGGTTTTCCTCCGAGGATGACTTTGGCACCCTTCGCGACAGCATCTTCGACCATCTTAGAGACCTTCTCGAATTGCGCTTTGTTAACTAGCGGTCCAACATTGACCTTCTCGTCAATGCCGTTTCCCATATTCAAACATTTGATCTTCTGCGCGAACTTCTCCACGAACTCGTCGTGGATGTCCTCCTGGATCAGGAATCGATTTGCGGAAACGCACGTTTGTCCGCAGTTGCGGAACTTGCAGGCAAGAGCTCCGGAGGCGGCAGCATCCAGATCGGCCGAGCTGAAGACCATGAACGGAGCGTTTCCTCCAAGTTCGAGGCCCACCCTTTTGATTCCAGCGGCGCATTGAGTGAAGAGCAGTTTTCCAACCTCCGTGGATCCGGTGAAGGAAATTCCCGCCACCAAATCGCTGGTGCAGAGAAGTTTTCCAACGGCCGAAGCGTTCGGTTTATCGCTTGTGATGACGTTGAATACGCCCTTGGGGATTCCGGCTTCTTCAGCTAATTTAGCCGAAGCTAAAGCTGTCAAAGGAGAATCTTCGGCGGGTTTGATGACGCAGGTGCAGCCGGAAGCCATGGCCGCGGCCGCTTTTCGCGTGATCATGGCATGAGGGAAGTTCCAGGGGGTGATAAGAGCCGCAACTCCGATGGCTTGCCTCTCCACCAACATCTTTTTATTGTTGCTCGGAGATGGGATGATCTCACCGCGGATCCTCCTTGCTTCTTCAGCGAACCACTCGACAAAATTGTTGCCATAGGTGACCTCTCCTCTGGACTCGCAGATAGGTTTTCCAGACTCCACGCATACGAGCTTGGACAGTTCCTCGTGGTGCTGGTCCATCAAGTAATACCATCTCTTCATCAGCTCGCTTCTCTCCTTACCGGTCTTCGTATGCCAACTCTCGTATGCGACCTTAGCCGCCTCCAGAGCCTTCTGCACATCCTCGACACCCATATCAGGAACGCAACCGACCACCTCCCCCGTGGCAGGATTCTTCACTTCGAACGTTTTCTTGCTTGCGGCCGTCACCCATTCTCCGTTCACGTACGCCTTGTCCTGGAGCAGATGCATCGCGCGTTGCACTAGATTTCGCGAGTTAGCAAACGACGAGAGGCGACTCGTCAGAACCCTCATCGTGCTGATAATCAGGCAAATTTACAAAATAACTTGGCAAGGTTACAACTACGCTCACTTGCCTGTGAACGTTAGCAGCGGAATAGTCCGAATCGATAATCGGTGGTCGGCGCATTCCTCTCGACACACGCGCATTCTCCAACTCCGTTCTCTCAGATGTAATCAACAGCGACATCCGCATCATTTGCCCGTCAAACAGAACCGAAAAAAGTGGACACATGACTTTGATCAAAATAAAATAAAAATCGGGCGCGTCACTAGCAAGTTGCGAAATAGCTCTACGATTCTGATTAAGCTTTATCATCCTTCCATCTAATTGAGTTAAACAAATAATGGCTTACATAATCTAATCCATGATAAAAGAACTCAACAGCTTACATTACTATAAATTTCCACAAGTGTTGACAATTTGTTTTATTACATACCTACTACGATGATTAATGTACAAACCATTTGACTCACATCAATTTACATTGTCATTGCTAAAACCATAGGCAACGCAGATGATTCAATTTACTATAAACAAAAACTTAAGTAATACTTTTGATTACTATAGGAATACAAATCAGTTTTTAAAAAGTATATTATAATTTAGAATATATGTTGTGTTATAAATGTTTAAAAATCAAATACACACGTAACAGATAAGAAGTAAATATATGATGAACAAGTCAGAAAAAATCCTCTTGTAAATATTTGACCAAAAAGTGTAATCTTTCAATTTTATTACACAAAATGATTCTCAAATTTAGTATCCATAAATTATTATAGTATTTTAAATAATTTTTTTAATAATAATAATTTATTGCAAACAAAAACAGATTGAACTGATGCAAAGGGCTACCGACTATAAGTCTTTCTGTCCTATGCCCTGACAATTTTATTATTTCAAAAATATTTTTGGGTGGATGCGCCCGGCACTGTAGAGTATGCAACCAAACTATCATCTCTGCATATGATTCACTAACTTCGTTCAATTTAAAAATCAGAAATAAAAAACACGTACATTTTTCACACATGAATAATAAATTATGCGGTTATATACGGGGAACGCATGACGAACCTGCCGGGCTACCAATTATGTCTTCGACGCGATTATAAATAGACCTGACTTTGCGAGATTCTCTTCCGCATTTAGAACCTTTTTGTTGCAATACAATTATTTGGTTAACGAGTTATACAAGTTATGTGTATCTCTAATATCTAAAGATAGAAATGTTTGTATCCTTTCATGATCTCACCGTTTGTCGTGGTCAGTAGCTTCATCCACGGATTTCATCCGTTTGATCTTCTCGAAAGTCCGAATCATCAGATCCTCGCTCTCCATTTTGTGAGTGAATGAGTGTGTTTGTTTGCTTTTTTTTTTGGGGTTTAGTTCAGTTCCACAGGTAAACTACTGAGATTCTAACACTAACCCACTGAACGCGACGCACAGAAATGTTGAGTCGGACGCAAAACTTCAATATGTAGCCGCACGTCCGGTTTGCAAGCACAGAACCATTCGACTGAGGAGAGAACTTTTCGAGCTGGTCAAGGTTCTGCATTAATATATTGTTACTCTCTTCTGTTATTTCACCGAAAAACTGAATAGGGGGGAATGTGGGCTGATTATTTTCGAATGCAATTAGCGATTGCATGCTATAAGCGAATTTACATGTAACGTCCCTGGAAATAATCATAGCTCATAGTCTGTACACTATAGATTCGTATTCAATTGCATCTCTAATTAAATTATTTTCAATCGCTTCCATTGTTTCCGAAATACTTTACTTTATCTATTTGTCAACTTGACAACAAAAATAAAATAATTAAATAAGAAATTGCTTTGATCTAAAAAGCCGAAAGTCCAATAAATAAATGTAAACAATTAATCTGTATTTACTTCAGTTATTTATAAATATTTAATTGCTTTAAATGAATCATGCAGTAGTTTAAATACATAAAGATGTAATTTTTATCTATGCCAATTAACACGTAATAAATATGAATGAAGACTGATAAAAACTTTCTATTCTTATCGCCTTCATTATTTTTATATTAAATAATATAAATAGCAATATAATTTTATTGTAGTTTAACATAACATTATGATCATAAGTTTATTGCTATAACATTTCCACCTACGAGAGCAAAGTATTTATATTGCAAACGAAAATAGAATTCGGTCGTTAAAAAAAACGCATTAAAGACATAGTAGGTTTAGAAATAAAGTAATATTTTTAAACGAGCGGAAAAACGCGAAGAGTGCAGTTGATTTAAAAAACACGTTTAGTCAATAGCTAATTTATATTAGTTTTGTTTTTATTATGTATACAATAAATGTTACTTTAAATTTTTAAAAGTAAAAAAAAACGTCTTTGCATTATGAAAACATGTTTAAATGTAAATAAAAGAGATTCTGTTCAGGTCGTTGACTTTTCGACCACGAGGTAGGTCGAAATTTACTTGTTCGTTTCTTTTGAGCGCTATCAAAATTTATTATGAATATTTATGTAGTTATTCATAGTTTAAGTAAATAATTAATTTTCGTTGATGTAATTCATTTATATTGTATAATAACAGAAAATTATATATTTATATTTTATTTCTATTTTTATAATTACGTAACAACCGTGATCCTCCCACTGTCCTCTTGGCAATCCCCAAGGTCATTGTGGTAGGGCAATAATGTTATGACTGCGATGTGGTTTTCACAATCACTTTTCTCCGAAATATATTAAGAAATCTTTTGGACAACAAAAATAAAATATTTTAATGAAAATTATCAATAAAAAAATAACTACATTTTTCAGATATCTACATATATGTTTTTTTAATAAATTAAATAAATTTAAGGAAATTTATAACGTTCTAACAATTACATATAAAACCTTTATGGCTACAATAAAATAATTCAAGATTATTAAATAAGTTTCTCAAACTATTTGTCAACAAGCAAAGAATATTTGAAGATTTGATAGCGGTATTTGCAATATGATAAAATGATGATTTTAACTGTACATTTAGAAATATCATATATGAAAACTAAACTATGTCATAGTTATTTCCATTAGCCTTCGAATCAATACTCTCTTTATACATTCGAGCTAGATGAATAGAGGTTTTATCAATAATTAAAATTAAAAATTAAAGTTTTTTTTACCTAGAAGTTTTCAGTAAATAATCAAAGTCGAATGGAAATGGCGCTTTCATAAACTGAACGATTCGATTTGCTTACGTCAAAAATGCAATCCTACAGCTGTGCTGAACCAACATGATCTAAGTGTATTATTATAACACAACAGCTAACGTTGTTCTCGTGCTAATCTACATCTAGTCTACACAAGAACCTTACAGGATGTTCTTCCATTTCACGTAAAACCTCTTTAACCCCATCTTAACAGTTTTTCAGGTTGAACTGACGCAGTTCAACAACGCGACCGATCGATCCTGAAACTACTACATGAAAAACAAACCGAAAAATAATTGAAACGCAAATATTTTATTTCTCGTACTGAATTTCTACGCAACGGACGTGAGTCACTACTGTGTGTAGTCTGGTTTTCATTTAAAAGAAGAGCGTAATTCCCCTCATTCAGTGCGTTGAAGTCTGTAATTGTATAAAATTTCTTAGAAATTAATGTGTATCAACTATACAAACATCTACATGCGATTTATAATTAAGGCAATTAGATTTTGGTTTTAATTATTATTGTTTGAATTGTAGGGGTATTGTGGATGTGAATGCCATTGACCCTAATTGCGTAACAAAGTGAAGAGGTCCGTTCCGCGTGGACGCGTCTCTTTAATTGTTATCATTTCCATAAAACACGACGGTCAAATGGGATTCGGAAGAAGCTCGCGTTCAGAGTTTCACGTTTCAATTGTTGCGTGAATCATGTGTCTCCGAGTTGAAGCAAACAACTACTAGAAAACGCGTGCTTCAATTGTTTTCCGCGTTTCACGTATCAATTGTTCCACGGCCAACCGGGGTTTCAACAATGACAAAGTAAACAATGGATGATGGACTTACCGCTCGTTGCCGAATGGACCGATTTTCCTGTACTTCCATCGCAGCAACATCATAGGTAAAATTGGGAATTGCGCCTTCGCCTCTTCCATGCTGCTGCTGCTTCCAAATTAGAATTGAGCCAGATAAACCTTTTATCACCTTCTTATATACTTTCACGTTTTTTATTTACCTTTCGCACTTTCGCGTCATTCGGGGTTTTCTGGTGAAAAATAACTTTCGCTTCTTTTTCTTCTTCCTCCGGACGCTCTTGATCTGAGGTCTGGTTGGCTTGTACATGGCATTAGAACGTTTCAGAAAACACCTCTCCTCCTCTTCCTTGATGCGGAACAGATTTGCAAACATGTTGTTTATATTATAATTTTTTTTTGTCGACTTTGCGTGTTATTAGAACCGCGTGAATATGAAATGCGTATCAAAGAATTCCCATTGTTCCAGGACTTTCCGCGCTACTATCGCACTCGCACTGAAAGACCCGAAAGGCCTCAATGGCTCAGGTCGCTCCTCGTTCATCCAACCATGAATGGGCTTTTTAAAAAGCATTACGAAAACAACACGAAGAGGGGATTTCCTGTACGATTTGCACACACGAAATTCCGGAAAGGCATCGCCAATTGTGCAATCAGTGTAATTAATACCAATTAAAAGATGATTATAATTACAAACATTGCAAATTCGCACATTCGCAATTTATAGTAATGCTGCAGCAGAATATGGTAATAACTAGATTTAGAGAAAAACCCAGAAAACGTTCATATACCACTTAGAAATGTAAATTTAGAATTATTGTGCTCATACTAATTTGTTTGCTTTAGTGATATTTAGAATGTTGTTAGTAATCTTATTTACTCTTTCTCAATTAGGCATATTATTTTCAATTAACATTACTTGGAATTACGTTAATCAATCACATTAATTAAAATATTATCACGTTTAACAAGAAAGTATATGTGGGTTTATTTTAATAGACTTATCCAAATAACAAATATAAATCTTTAAGTTGACTGAAAGATTTAAATTTAAAAAAAATCAATATGGAGGATTACTGTATTATAAGTTGCATAACTAAAACGATTAGTAACTAAGCAACCAGTGGTTGGTTATCCCTGATTATCCCTAACCTCTTGTACTTGCTTGAGGGATTAGCGTGTAAACGTTGATAGAGTGAGAGTGTCCAATTCAAAAGTCAGTACAAAACAAGCTGATTTGATTACGAGAGAACAAAGCCTTCTATCAATAGTAATTGGTTGTTCTGTCCCTGAGGTGAGGAGTTTTAAATGATGGATATTAACATTGAAATGCGAGAAAAGCAACTGGAGAATTTCGATCAGTTTATATCGAATTCAAAGAGTAATTTAGATGATATTCTGTCCACCCTGGATTGGACTGCAGACAAGATCAAAGCTGTAAGTATAGATATATTTCAGTATATGAAAATGGTAAACATTAAGTGAATGTTTTTAGGAAAACAAGAGAACAATATGCCCACAAAACCCTGGTCATTTGATCCATTTGAAAGGGTATAGGGAGCATGTCGATGATTGCAGCTTGAAAGTCAATGGTTATGACTTGAAGGAGAATTTCCTTGCAGAGCCTGGAGAAAGAGGCGATTCAAATGTTTATTTCGGTGAGTCTTACATATTGTTGGGTTTATAATAATATTAACATTTCTTTTGCTTTTGTAGATAAAGCTGAAAAAATTAAAATTTTATCGGAAGCCCATTACACAGTACCTAACTTTAGAACAGGTAAGTGCTTTGAATTTATGAAACGCCATTCGGAATGTTCATTTCTTTGTGTTTATTTCAGAAAGATTAACCAATCTATATATAAATTGTATTATGAATATCCTTTTTTATTATATCCTTTTTTTATAATGATAATTGTTTATTGTGTATTGTGTATATGTGTATTGTTGTATTTTGTGTGTGATAAACGTTTTAAATTGTTGGGATTGATGATGTAGGTTGGAACGGAATGGACGAGGACCCCAAAACTGCGGACAGATTAATGACTACCTACAGTCCGGATGAGAGGTTGGCACTATATGAGAGGGCTAGGATCGCCGCTAAAGCTCCGAAAGAAGTACCCGAATTCAATTTGTATGTGAAGAAATACATGTGCGTTTGATCGTTTGTAATATTGTTGTTGTATGCAGGACTGGAGCTGTTAACGAAGCGAATAACAAAGAGTTGACCTACGAGGAGGTGCTGGAGCAGGAAAGGAACGCGAAAAGGAGGAGGATCAAGTACAAGTCGGTGCATACGAGCAAGAAAAATCATACGGAAGTGTTGAGGGATGTGATTAAGAATCAAATGGAGGCATACGAGGACTGGATCAAGGAGCAGCAAGAGGGATCCCAGAAATCGACGAGTAGGAGTAGCGTGCATTCCGGACATAGCAGAGACTCGAAACGGCGGAGGTCAAGGGAAAGGAGCAGCAGGCGGTCATCACACGAGCATCAAAGCAAATACAGAAAGAACAGAAATTAATTAATTTAACGTGCCAATTAGTGTTTTAAATATTTGTTTTGTATATTTGGTTGCATATACTCGTACTAATTTTGTATTTATGTAATTAAATTAATTTCTTTATTTTTTTTAATAATAATTACTTCGTTTTTTTTTGTATATATTTTATATAAAATTTATTGGAACTAAAAGGAAATTGGTTAAATACAAAGGACATCGTAACATAACCTTACTAAACAGAAAAATGTCGTTTCGCAGGTTGCTGAATGTTGTTCAGAGGCAGTTTGTGCCTGTTTTGGTGAAATCTCGTCGTCAGTTCCAAACTGGACCTGTTTTACTATGCAAAGGACAAGAAGCGAAAACGTCGATACCTTTAGGAAAACTAGAAGGTAAACTTCAATTGGTGTACACTTGCAAGAAATGCAACACCCGAAACATTCACCATATATCAAAAGTGGCTTACACCAAGGGCGTTGTGATAGTGACTTGCGAGGGTTGCCAGAATAACCATCTGATAGCAGACAATCTGAAGTGGTTCACAGATCTGGATGGCAAAAGGAATATTGAGGAGATCTTAGCAGAAAAGGGGGAGACGGTGCAGAAATTGTCAACAGGAAGTCTTTTAGAAGCAATTAAAAAAGATTAAAAGTTAGTTTAATTATATTAATAGTACAAAATTAATTGTATATCCGTATATAAAAATATAATAATATAATAAAGACCATGGCAGCACCAATTCAATGTCAATCAAATATTGGTCCTCAAATATTGTAAAATATACTTGTATTTCTTATGTTTTCTTTTTAAATAAAATTTCTTAATAGGGTAACATGTACTTAATTTCTGTAAGTACTCTGAAAATTTGGCACTTGGGTGGCATAAATCACATAACACAACAATTCCATACCATTTCCTAATATTGCAGGGGGGGTGCGACTTTTTTTGAGACTAGACTCGCTTCGGTTTGCTGATTACAGCGTATTCGGTGTCGTTGAAGGATTTATGAACGACTGGGTTCTCCTTCTTCCGTATTAACGCGTATCCCAGATGCGAATCGTCCGCTGGCCTCTTCGATTCGAGAAGATGCACCTCGTCGTACTCGTTAAAGGATGGCGGTGATGGTAGGTTGTTATTCTGAGCCCGGACCTGTTTGTAGCCGGCCATGTCCAATTTGCTTGTGGAACCAAAGAAATTCAATTTGTCATACTCGTCGCTCTCTTCGACGTCCGTTATAACTTTGGCGGCCTTCGAGATCTTGCTCTCGAAAATCGGAGATTTCCTACCCCATTGGATTAAGTCTTCTTCGCTGTCGACGTTCTCCATATGATTCACGTCGATCATACCGAACGTCTGCCAGGCGTTCTTTCGTATTTCCACTTGATCATAATTCTCTATGGGCTCGTAATCATCTTTAACAGGTAAATGCTTCCTGGGTGGTTTCGGTGGCACAATTGGATGATAATTGAGTACTTTTGGCAATTCAGCAGAAAACTCCTGTGAAAAGTCCTGCAGACTTGTGGATGTTGTTGGAGATGGCGGCAGGGGGCTCCTGCTCTTGGCTTCCATATTAAGAACTGCCAGCAACTGCTTGTCACCACAATCCAAGTTGGGCATGGAATCAGTTTTTAACAGCTTCTTCATAGATTTCATTTTCATGGTCACATAACGAAATATTTCCTGCTCATTTGAATGCTCCAAAAGGAATTTTCCTTCCCCTGAGTCACATTTCCTGCCTGCTTCAAAAGTGAACTTTCCTTCACTGTAACCATATCTCCTCACAAACTGATATGGCCAAGTAAATAGAAGTGCATCATCAGACACCTCCCTCAATTGAATTGCTGTTGCGGTCAACATCAAGATGTAATTTTTCGGTAGCAAATTGCATCTGATGGAAGCATCAGTTTCATACAGTTTCACATTGAATGTTCCCTCCCCTATGGAACAGTACAGATCATTATCTTCGACTAGACTTGCTGAGTGCTCTGGGTCCTCCTTGAATGCAACAATTTGCAAAGCAGAAATCCATTGTTTTAGAGCAATTTCTGTATGGGTTTGAAAATCATAGGTACCACTCTTTGTAACAACACTGAAATAAGTGTCTGTTTTTTTGGAGACTTTCACACAGTCCTCCAATGTGATGATTTTGTATGGTACGGCATTCAATTTGCTAGCCTCATCAGCACTATCAAAAATCTCAATCCTCTCGATGCCCTGCTTGCTGGCCTTGTACAGAAGGCAGTACTTCCGATGTGGCTTCTGTTGTTTACAAGAGATAAACAAGTGATTAAAATTGTATTGTTAAATAATGAAGGGACAGAGGAACAGAGCAAAGGGGGGACTCACTTTAACTTTCAGCAGTTTTTCCTTGGAAGGCAGCAACAGCAAACCCTCTTGAACGGCCTTCTCTTCGTCCATCGTTCAACATTTAATAGTGCCCAGTCCAGAATCACGTAAACATATTTCAACTGCACCACAGATAGTAAATATTTTTAATAATAATAAAGTTCCTCATGCATAGTTGCACCGTTGCCGTCGAAACAAAGGCGACGTTGTCGGAATATGTTTCGCATATATTTAGCAGCGAATGCTTGGCTTGCCTTATCAACTGCAAAAATTGAGAAATTATTATAATACACAGTTGTGTACTGTTGTGTTGAAAATAAAACCGCGATTAGATTATACAGAACAACTTCCTTCCTCTATGCAACAAATATGAATCATACAGGAAGTTTTTAGATTGTATTTCTAGATGGCGCCTGCAATGTTTTATGCATCTTGGTCCAAAAGTATTTAAAATTTAAATTATTAATCTATTAATCATTACTTTCTAATTCTCTTTACCTATAACAATTTCCAATAATTGAAAGCATTTGTTTCAAAAAGAAGTAAAATTACACTTACAATTAATATTCAAATCAACTTGAAATTAATAATGCAACGAGTTTTCAGGATGTGCTCGTTTCTTTATTAAATTAGGTACAAAAATAAGGAACTTATTAATTCAAACTATTGTTATTTGAAGTCGGATGAAAAATGCGTTTGAACGTATTTATAGATCCAAACAATGGGGGTAAAACGCATCGAACAATGAAAATATCAATCATATTCTTTGCGTACATTGCACAAGCGTTTGCATTCCGAAATGGAAGAGATTTATTATTTAGTAATGTTACCAAATTTAATAATTGTAAGTTTAAATCAAAATAATTCAAATAACGTTATTAAGTTCAATGTTTAGATACTTGTCCTGTATTATCTGTTGCCAAGACAACCAGAATCTCGAGAATTGGGGATAGAGTTTTAGGATTTCTCGATGCATCCTCGATTAAGGTATCCGAGTCGATCTGCGACAAGGAACTGGACAAATTTCGAATAGCTTTTAGATCTAGCAAACTTTGGGCTATGAAAAGTTTATATTTTCTTTGGGCAAATTTTCAATTTTATATTTACTTTCATATAAATTTTCAGTGTTTGACGCAAACGCGAAAATTCCTTCAGGAATTTTAAGAGGAAACGTTAATCAGTTCGGAGATTTCGATGAATGCTTAGAAGTCTCGTCCGCTAAATATTGCCTGATTGAAGTTGACTTAAGTAACTTGTGGAGGAAACTGGAAGAGAATGAGATTGAGAATTTGGTGCATTCACAGTACATAATTAAAGCCACCTACGATGATGTATTTTTCATTCACTATTTATTTCCTAATGAAAATTGTATTTATTTTTTTTGATTAGCCTAAACACCGTGTACCAAATTATTCGATGATAAAATGGGGAGTCTGTATACCGAAACTGTGTAATATATCGGGAATTTCGAAGGTGGTGTCTGAAAAGTTGGATTTGAAAATAAGAGCTGAAGAGGATTTTTGTCAATCTGGAGATAACGATGGGTCCATTTCCAAGAATACGATGTGAGTTTTTTTTTCATATAAGATATTTGTTATTCTACAATTTATTTATTTTTAGGATTTCTTTCGGTGCTCTGATATTCTTAACTGGATTAGCAAGTGCATTTAAATTGATTGGTGTGGGTCATTGTTCAAAGTTATTGGGATGTTTCGAGATTCAAAGTAATTGGATAAAGTTTAATGATGCGAAGAAAGATCGGAACGAATCGCTCGATGGAATCAGGGCATTAAGTGCTTTGGCGTTACTCATGTCACATAAAGCTATGGTCCAATTGTTCGGTCCTTACGTGGATGGATATAAAGTTGCGGAACATTTCGGTCAGAGTTGGTCAATTTTGGGTAGAACGGCAGTTTTGCATACAGACACATTTATATTACTAAGCGGTTTTTTAACTGCTAAATCAATGGTACGGAATTACGCAGCGAATCAAACATTGGGATTTAGACGGATGTGCGTCGACAGGATGTTCAGGTAAATGCAAAAGTCAATTTTAATCGTGTTTTATTATATAAAAACAAATCAATCGCTGTCCGACTTTGAATCGGAGCCTGATCCGGATCTTGAATTCGATCTTGATCTCGATGGGGATTTAGAGGCGGAGCGAGATCGAGATTTGGAGGCGGAGCGAGAACGTGATTTGGAGACGGAGCGGGATCGAGAGCGCGATACCGATCTGCTTGCCGATCGGGATCGTGAACCCGAACGGGAACGCGATCGGGAGCGTGAAGATGATCTTGACTTTTCGTCGTCGTCGCTCTTCTCCTCATTATCGTCGGCTTCCTCCTTGTCTTTCTCCTGATCCGAACCGTGCTGGCTGCTTTCATCATCTTTCTTCTCCTCCGTCTGATCCTTCGCTTGCTCCAGCTCCTCCTCCTCTTCACCTGGCGGTTCGAGCTGCTTCTCCCTGTACCTCTGCATTCTGAATTCCTGCTCATCCATCGGCCTGTGCTGAACCACAAGTCTGGTCTGGCTCGGAGTCTGACCCACTTTCTGCCTGCGCTTACTAAGCCTAACTCTCGTCTCCAGTTCGTTATAGTAAACTGCGTCATCTCTCATAACCAAATAGTAGTTCTCTTCGTATCCCTTGCTCGCTTTACTCTTCACGTTCCAGTTGTATTCGCGCGCCATAATGTACTCGTAGTCTTGTTCATCCTGGTAAGGAACTTCGTTAACGAAATCTTCCTTCCTCTTCGTCAGAGTATCTTCCATCGGCAAAAAGTAAGCGACAAACTGTTCACCGCTTTCGTCCATAACACCGCGAATCATAGCCTGCGACATCTCCTCTATTTGAGCGGGCACCTGTTTTCCGACAGGCGCTGGATCCGAGTCGAAAATAACCTGGGCGCAAGGATACTTCCACAATTTGAAATCAGGATAAATATCCATCACCTCAACAGGTACAACATTAGGTTTACTGTAATGCTTCTCGATGGGCACCTTGGCATCAGCAAATGTCTTTTCGATAGCCTTGATTTGAGAATCTCTGTCCATGTACAGTGTTTCATTTTTGAGATTCTTCTTGATGCTGTAACCAACTTTTGCCTCAACTTTGTCCATGGTCTGCGGCTGGAATCTTGTCTGTTCTGTGGAAATGTACTCAGTACGTCTGAGCCAAGATACTGGTCTGGCATGATGTCTGGATCTCTTTGAATCCTGTGGTGTCAGAATATCTTCTTCCAACAATTTCTCATCAGCTCCATCCAAGTAAGCATCTGGGTCCACAGCGTAAATATCCTTATTGATCAAGTCTATATTTACACCCAAGTCATGTTCAGTCAGCACATCATATCTGTAGTTTCTCTCCAACGAAGTGGGGTTATATTGTATAAATCTACAATACACATGAACATGACATAAATTAATTTAAATAATTTATTTAAAAAAAAACACAACACTTACCTGGATGATTCAAATGGATACGCTATGAACTTCAAATCAAATGGAATATCTGGCAGTGTGTTGCAGTACTTAACTTTTACCATAAGTTCAGATCTAATAAGAAAAATTAAATATATACAAAATACAGCCAAAGTGCATGCAAATTTGAGTAAACTTACTTTCGTTCTCCTGGCTTCGCCACCCGTTTTTCAGGGTTCGTACTGCCACTTGCATTCGTATTATTTCCATGCTGAATAGTGGGTGGCATGTTTGCACATTTCTTTGATTCCTCCACAACAATAACTTCGGAATAACAATATTTTTACCAAACAAATACCCTTAAGCCCAAATAAGCTACAGCACTACCAACAATATACTTTTTAAATATAAAACTGTACTGTACCAACATGGCATATTAAATTATTACGGTGTTGGTTTGGTTGTATAACACACATTAATAATTTTCGCATAACACGTACTCTACTTAAATTAAGCAAATATTTATAAATATTTATAATACTTAACAATACAGATCTATGATGAGAAAGCATTTTTGCTCTTGTAAAATATAATTAAATATTTTAAAAATAATTTGTTTCTTTAGGATATTGCCCAGTTTGATTGTAACAATCATATTTTGCACTGAGATTTTACCGAATCTATCATCAGGACCATACAAACCAATGCTGGTCGGCCATCACGCGAACTTGTGCAGGAAATTTTGGTGGAGAAACGTGTTGTTCATCAACAACTTATACCCGTTCGAGGAAATGGTGAAACTTGCAACGAATTTCAGAATAATTTATCAATTCTGAAATTATTTTTACTTTCAGTGCTTAACTCACACTCACCAAATCGCGATCGACATGCAACTGTTTGTTGTTAGCCCTATAATAGTTTATTTCCTTTTGAAGCGTCGCATCTTCGGATATATCTTAGGATTCTCAATAATTTTAGCTTCGAGTATTTTGAAGTATTTAACAATCGCTGAGAGGGAATTGAGTTACATCGTTTATTTTGGAACATCGTGAGACGAAAAATGCTTGAAATTAAGTAATCTAATTATGTTGTTTTAGGGTATCTCAGCTTTTCGATACAGCTAATTACAGTTATATTCGTGCTACGCATAGAGTAGGGATTTACGCAATGGGAATCTTCGCAGCATTCACCATTAGGGATTTCAATAAATTCACAGTATTCATGAAACGCAACCCATCGTTATACGTGATTTTTGGGATGGGGAGCGGGCTTTGGGTGATGTTGCGGCATCATCGGATGGGTTTAAGCGCTTACGCTTACGACGCGAAGGAAGCTGCGGATTTCGGGGCGATCGGATCGTTTCTATGGGCCTGTTCCGTTTCCTGGACGATACACGCATCCGAAAATGATTACGGCGGTAAGAACTCGACTAGAAATTGCTCTTTGCGGGCAAGTTTGTAAACTTTGTTTATTTAGGATGGTTTCCGAAACTGTTGTCCTGGAAACACTTTGCGCACTTCACGAAGATTTCGTACGCCTTCTACTTGGTGCAATTTCCACTGCTCTTCCATTCGGTGGCGTCCACGAAGCATCCCATACCGTTTGACTCTAATTTCGTAAGTCGATAATCTGCTTGTACATAAGTACTCTCAGAACACATGGATTTGTTTTTAGTTGGAGTTGGGAGAAACTTGCCGGATGTTCTTAGCCTCGATACTTCTAACACTATTAGTGGAGATACCATTGAGAAACGTACGCAAATTAAATTGTCAATAAAGTTTTATTTAATCGAATAAATAACCATTTTACTTTGGTGTACAACAATATACGAGAGCTCGAAATTTTACCATTCGTTTAATTCACAAAAACAAATATCAAACACAGTAAAGAATAAGATAAGACAGTACGTGAATGTATGTGATACAGAGAAAAAGATTCAATTTATTATATAAAGATCAAAAATATATATTATATAATCAAACACTATATATATATTTTTTTTTGTTGGTAATTCATTGTTCGTAATTATTGATTTCAAAAATTATTTTTTTTTTCAAATTTAATTAACTTTCATATTTAACCACGTGCAGAAAAGGATAAAAAACGGTGCAAATATTAATACAAACGTTGTGTGTATGAGTTTATGGTTGTTTTTTTTTGCTTCATCTTCTTCATCTCAACCATTTTAAATTTCAATCTTTAAACATTTCAATATATATATATTTATTAATGTAATTTTTATATAGAAAAAAACGTGCCTCATATATCGTTATTTAATTTACTTACAAGTAGATTTATATAAATTTGATTGAATCAAAAAAAAAAACAAACATAGAATACAGGAGGAAACGTAACGAAAAAGGTATACAAATAATTTTGGACCCCAAATTTTCTTTTTTTTTTAGTTTAGTTTGTTCGTTTTCATTTCTATCCTAACGACTTTCCATCACTCGCATTTACTTATTTATGTTTTTATTATTTTTTTTTTAATTTTTACATTCCCTTTACTAAATCTTTTTGGTGTTCTCTCGAAAACAAAGCGAAACTGATAATCGGCCTAGTCCGAAAAAGGGAAATTGAGTTGAGCATTTCGTATTTACATCGAACGAAATCATTTTTTTTGTTTGTTTTTTTTGAAAACGGAAACTATAAATAGAGTGAAACAGTAATATAAAGTAATAGTAATGAAGACAAACAGGTTTAAACAATTTCTAAAGAGTTTCCTATATGTACACTAATAAAATCCGAAAGAATTATAATATTAATAATAATTAATGATAACGAAAACGATTCGCTTCTACAACATATGTACAATTTTGAATAGTTTTCCTAATCAATAGATCAAATCCTAGATGCTGGATGCAGCGATTTTTCAGTTCCAAAAGACACTTGTTCCTTGTTCGTTTTTCTTCTTCATCTTTGTTAACTTACTTCTTCTGCTCGTCTTCTTCCTTTACGTTTCTTCTTTTTTTTTTGAGAATTGAAAAATCTTGTATTTAATATATCTTTTACCATTTAAAAAATAGAATTATTTACAAATAGTGTGTGATCATTGTTTAAATTACGTTACGCTAGTGTTTCACCAACATTTATACAATATATATTTAGATTACCAATTTTTTTTTTTTGTATATAATATAGAATATAATTTTAATAAGATTGTCTTTTTAAGTTTGTTTTTCTTTTTGGGAATTCGTTGCTAAATATATTAATGTTTCCTTATTTACAACGAAATAAAACACGAACGAAGTCAGAAGTGAAAGAAAGAAGGAAAGAAATCGGAAAATCAAAAGAGTGACGCGCGAGTATTGCTCAAGAGGAGAGAAATTGAGGAATGTAATTTGTTGTTTAAATGATGTCGAATGATGATATGTGTGTACAATTATTTTTTTCAACATTATTATTTTTGTTTTGTTTTCATATCCGTTGGAAAGCGAGAAAATCTAAATTAAAGAATAAATAAATAAAATATATTATCACATGTTGATGATATTACACGCGTATTTATAGTGCACGTGTAATGTTATGTAAAAGAGAAGAAATTAGGAGAAACTTTGATTTTTTTTTCGTTTTACAGCTAATTGAAAAAACCCTAATGAGATTCTCTTTACCTTAACTTTGTTTTTTTTTTTAAATATATCTGTTTTGTTTTAACTATCTTAAAAATCGTATTGTTTAAGGCAATTCGAAATAGAGGAGAGATTAATAATTAATAAATATAAGTCGGGATGGAAGTCCCAATCTTATTGCTAGAAGAAATAGTTTTTTTGTTTTTGGTTTCTTGTTTTCCTAGACGGTCGTTCCGACGTCAGCGGAGACGATCTGGTAGTGTTCTTGACCTTTGAAAAGAAGCAAACAATGACGATTACTCAGTTTCTTTTGTTGTTGTTGCCAAACGCATCAAGTTTACTTTCTAGGTAAGCGGCGAGTTCGTGATCGTCCGCCTGAAGAGCCAAAAGTCGAGGAGTCAGACCTCTGCTATCGAGGATGGTGAGGGAAGCTCCACCGGCGACGAGCATGCAGCAAACCGTTCTGCATTTGTAGGTTGCAGCCTTGTGGAGAGCCGTCTGGCCGAGGTTCGAGTCCTTCATGTCGATCAGGACGCTGGGCGCCTGTCCCAGCAAATACTTCACGATGTCCCTTTGATCGAACCTGGCCGCGATGTGAAGCACCGTCTGCCCTCCTCCGTCCTTGCTCAAGAGCGAATATCCTTGCGTGTGCAATTCTTTAATCTGCAAAGCAGCAAATAAAAAAAATAATAGGATTTTCGTAATTTGCAGAATTCACTCACGGTTTGCAGATCGCCGAGTCTCGCAGCCCTCAGCAGTAAATCGCTCGGCTTCTCATTCAGGCTTAAATGAGAAAACACACGATTGAATACAATAGCAAGTAGCAGAGAGATCCCCAAACGTAGCGTATATAAATTAAACTATATTTCACGCTTCAATGAGGGGATCAGAAAATTGCAAATTTCTATACTTTTTTTTTGTTTTTAATTTTGTGAAGAGGCATGCATAAAAATCTTACCTAAACGTGTTGTAAGATTCTTGAGATAAGCCAAAGAGTCGTTCAGAGACGCTGCATGCAAATTTGAAGAGAGACAGAGAGAGTCAAGAGATGAGATGAAAACGGAAAAGATGCACACACACACAAAAGTGTTTTATTCATTGGGAAAGACGACGAGAGACGCACACAAACAAACAAGATCGATACAAAACAAAAATGAAACAAATAATATTAATAATCATAATTTGACGAAACGAAAAGGTAGAAAAGAACGACGAGGACAAAGAATTTGTGATTTTAGAGAAACAGAGGTGCGGTGTAAATATACTAATTTTTTTAAACTGCGGTATTTTTGCATGGTTTCGTGTCACTAGGGTCACTAGAAAAAGGAAATCATAAATGAATTACACTTGCATTAAGAAAGAAAGAAAAAATATAAGAAAATCATTATCTTATTGCAGAATTAATCGTTTGCAGGATAATAATAATAATAAAAATAGGTGTCAATTCTATTAAATTGCATTGGTGCATTGGTTATTAAAGAATGCGAGATCTAAATCTAAATAAAGGGTTTAGAAGCCGAAAGTTACGGGGGAGCAGTTTTCGAAAATTGATTGTTTATACAAGCGACGGTGTCGCCTCTTGTTAAATATTTAACGGACCGTTACCATTGCAGAAGCATGCGCGTTCCCACGTCCGAAAACTTCCTAATTAGAATCAATATTTAAAGTGCTTTAGAGCGGTATTTACGTAGACTGCGACCTCATTCTTCGCTGATGTAACAACAGTCGCTCGCAAAAGAAAAAAGAATTTATTACGTTCGTATATGAGAATCACCAATTTGGAACGATTGATGAGATATTGTTGTAATTTGTATTGGTTTTTTTTATATTCAATTTCCTTACACTTAGTATAAATTCAGAATTTTTATCAATTTTGTGAGCGCGTTTGGAGCAATGCTAAAGAAAACAAATTGAAAGCGTCGTTTCTAAACAAAAGTGGTCTTCAACGCCGTGGGGAATCTTAATTGTATATTGATTACAGTACACAACATTTGTATGTAAAACTATGTTTATACATACGTTATTAAATACAATTAAATAGGGCAAAAGACTGGATCCTTTTGGTTATTGCTTATAGTTAAATTATCGTTTATAATTAACGATTTTCGTATAGGTAAATTATCAGAGTCAACACCTGCAATGTTAATGGGTTTATATCGGGTGATTAATTGTACATATTTCAATTAAGTTTTCATGAACAAATATCTGCAACAGTTTAGTAATGTGTAAATAGTAATTATAATAATTATTCAAAATAGTCGAATCATTATTATTGCTCGGTGGTGAATTCGAGAAAGGCTTTCAGAGTTTATTCGTAATAAAGTAAGGTGCGAAGAGTCCGAAGTGTGCGAAAGTACTTCTAGACGTCGATCAAAGGTTTGGTGTAGATATAGGCTAGTGTCGAGATAATGCGAAAATACCTTCGGATCTTAATGCCTTGCTGCGGCGATGATGGATGCTTGCTGTCTCCGTTGGACAACTCCTTGGTTGTTGTTGTTGTTGGCACGTCTTCGGGACTCTGGGCGACCTTCGGAGACATCGGCGGTTGGTCACTGGGTGAATCTAAACTGCCCTCGTCGCTGTATAAGTGAAATCAAATGATATTAGTATGGGAAATGTTTGTTTTGGTAGAGCTTCAGCACCTGACTCTCATCTCCGGGATGATACAGTTGTTGGAGCTGATCGTGGATATTGTGGCTGGGTCGTCGTCGGTGGGCGTTTGCGGTACGACAATCTCGCATTCAAGGATGTAAAGGGCCTCTGTGGAGATGTCAGCCACGTAGTGTAGATTTTCCTGCGCCTTGTCGATGCGGAAAAACCTTTCTGCCGTGCATGAGTCCACGAAGCACCAATCGCGATTCGACTCTCCAAGCAATTTGTTGATTTCGCCTCGGATCTAGGAGAAAGAAGGGATTTGGAATTCGCTCGAAATGGAAATACCTAATGGATGTACCTGATCCAAATCCGATGCGGGATTGATATCGAGCTGTCCCACGTTTTGGGCCGCCTGCGTGAGCAGATCTTTATCGTAGTGGTTCATCTCGTAATCCGACATGGAAATCTTGAGGATCGGTAGAGTGACGGGGCTGAGCTGATCCGCAGGCAGCTCCATAACTTTTCCGCCCTTCCTCTTAGCCAGCATCGTTGCTTTGTTGAGGAGGGAGAGCTTGATTATGGAAGGAGCCAGCTTGCATGCCTCCCCATCCACTTGCATCGGGATCGTCTTTGAAGTAACGATCCGCGCCGTTTTGCACTGAGTTATGCACGTTCCGTGTCCTCCAGCTTGCAGCAGGGGCTGAAACATCGCAAATTTCCAAAAGAAAAAAAGAATGAATACCGCATACTTTAAATGATATGATAAGATGGTAAAATACCAGTTGGTACGTCGTCAGTCCGACGACTTCGATGAGACCATCGTCGGTTGTGGGATCTGACGATCCCATTGAACGATTCCACGGATGAGTTCCTCCGCCGTAACTGGGAATGTTCAGGAAAACGACGGCGTGCACCTTGAGCTCCTTCAGCTTCGGCGTCAGATCTTTGCCGTCGCACTCGAGGGTGACTAATTCCGCCAGACCCTTCCACTTTCGCCTCAGCAAATCCTTTCCGCCCATCTGCCCGTAAAACATCTTATTTCGTAGGCGGGAATTGAAGCGCTCCGGATGCGCTTCCCGTGCCTCGTGAAATTCAAGCGCGATGTGAGCATCGACGCCCATCGAGAAGTAATTATTCACGACGTTCAGAGGCAAATTCTCTTTTCCATCATCTTTTCCACCTTCGCTCTGCGGATTCTTCTCCACCTCCAAACTCCACCTGTCCAGCTGCACCGTATCGCTGGACGCAAGATTCGTGAGGATCTTGCTGATGGGTTCGTCCGTGTATCCGCCGCCCCAACCCAATGCTCTTGCCAAATCATTTCCGGTGCCCAATGGAAGCACTCCAACCGCCGGCACCGGACTGATTTCGATTTGATCGATGACGCTCAGCACCCAACCGACTGTGCCATCACCACCGCATGCCAAGATCCTCAAGTTCGGAACGTTCTTGAACATCTCCAGGCCCATTTTCGGTCCTCCCTGGGTCAGATCAAACACCTGTCTAGGATTCAGCAGCCATTGGAACTTCTGCAGAAGCTTAGCGCCCTGATTGCCGCCCGACTTCGGATTGATGAATACTATGACTGGTCTGATGCCGGTCAACGGTACCGGCTTGATTATGAACGACCTCGGATCTTTGGGTTTAGGTTTAGGTTCTTTAGGTTTCTTTTTGCTTGAGGATCGCTTCTTCGGCGACTTTCTCAGCGAAGATTTGAACGCACCTTTTTTGGGTAACTTCAGAATCCACACGGGTGGAACGATTATCGTGGAGTGCACTCCCATCTTACAATCCTCTTCGATCCTCTGTACATTGAAACATGACTCCTTGTTGTGGTAGGCCACCTTGCACCAAGAGCAGCACAGCGCAACGATCTCCTTATTACTGAACGACAGTTTCGATTGGAACGACTGCAACAGACGTTCACAAATCACAATTAAAACAATTACAATACATCACATTTCACATCAGAAGCAACAAAAAAGCGTACTTTATATTAAGATATAAATACACAATACGGTTGCCTTGAAATGAAAGACAATCCAAATAAATCTTGCGTAAATTGAGACGTTTCAAATGCGTAAATAAACATGTGGAATAGTTTTGGCTCGGAAAAGGCATGCAGATGCTTCACGTTAAGTTTCAACATATCTCTCATATTTTCCTTATTTCGTTATTTCAGATGCATTAAACTTCTTATTTTAACAATAATTTCTAAATTTATTTCATAGGAAAATTATTAATTTAAGAATAATTATTAAGACGTTTAAAATGATCTTACCTTTCCACATTGTCGGCATTTTCCTTTCTCTGATCTTCGATGGACCCAATGGTGTTGGATGGTTGTACGCTCTCTGTATTGTCGTACGCTGGAATCCAGGAAACTGGGTTTGCAGGTGAACTTTAGTCGATCCAACAGATTGCCCAGGCAACTGTGATGAACCACGACGTTGCAGGCGGAGCATTTCAAGCGCGGACCGTGCTTCTGCACACATCGTTCGTTACAAGTCAATGCCAGTAAAATAAAGGATAACTCTTGGAATTTTTTCACTTACAGTGCAATCCGCGTCGCCGACGTAACAAAAGTCACCGGAAACGGAAGTCGGCACCCAGAGGTGATCTCCACTGATGGCAGTATCTGCCCAATCTGGAGTCGCGCGAAGTACTCTCTCGCCTTCCGGACCCCTTCTACATCACCCAACCAACCAACAGGAAGAAGAAGAAAAAAAAACGAAATTAGTATTTCCTAAATCAAATTTAAACAAAACTCGGCGAAGACCTGTAGTGCTTAACGTAATTTCGGTATCTGTAGACGCCGCGGCGCCTCGCGATAGGCCTACTACGTCTGGTGCTCATCATTCGAAACCCGGAAGCAATTACATACCAGATTGCTATGTCTCTATATTCTTTCCAACTTAATTTGTTGTTGTTGCTTCAGGATGGAACGGTTTACATAATGAAGCGCACGCGCTTCCAACGCGAAACCTCAAAGCATCCTTCATTTACCAATTACTCAAGTTAAAATTACCGAATTGATTAAACGCGTTTAATTGGAAAACTGCGCGTTCGTTACGTTTCCTCGTTTAGTTCACTTTGCAAATTTAAGAAGAACAATAAAATAAACAACAAAACAAAAACCGTACGTACACTCTTCGTTCGACAGTTGCGCGAGCTGTTTAACTGCTGAAGCGGACACTCAGCAAAAACACTGATAAGATAAGATTGCCATCAGACTTTTTCGTGGTCTGTTATTACAATTACTTTTGTTATAATTATTAACATTTATTTCTTCTATTTCTTTTCTATTTCTTCTCTTCGAGGAGCGGCGGCGCTCTCCTTCGAAGACGAGACAACGTTCATTTGGCGACGCGCAATCAATTCGTGTGGCCTGGGTTCCCGTCGTCGTGTCTATCTCTCGATATGTATCGATTCGCAAATGAAATATTTATAGATACACCTACTACATCCCCCATCCACAGACAGAGCCGAACACACATACGCACATACGACCAAGCACGCAATAAACAAACATTTGCATAAAATAGAGGTGTACATGTGTGGTGTACATTGCGTGGGGGGGAGGGGGGCGAAATGGGAGAAACGTGTGCGGGACTGAGAGAAAGCGTGTGTATGTGTGTGTACATTTCGCGATGATTAAAATGCATGCAAAATAGAGAGGAATAAGCGACAAGAAACACGTAATACCATCGGCAATTAGCGTTAGGCAACCCAACGGTCAACCTGGGGAAAATTGCCGTGGAAAAGCCCATTGTTCCCTTCCTAATCGGCATTACGTAACCGGACCGTCGCGTTATCGGCGCTTCCACTTGACCGGATCGGATTCGAAGCGCTAATTCGATTGCATTAGGTTGTTCAATAAGAGCTTAAACATTGTTCTAAACTAATGCAACTTTCAACGAATACCATTTTAATACCGCCATTTAAATTACATAATTCCAGACGCATTCAATCTTAGCAAGCCAAGTTGAATCCTATAGTAGTCTCATTGTTTTCTTGATGAACTTTTTAGTGAACGACACTTAATTAAATTAGTAGACTATGTTCTATAAATGTGATTTCTTTTCATATAAATAATGATAAAGTGTTTGAAATACTTCCTGAGTTATACAAACAAATGATTTTGAGTATTTACCTCGAAAATAACATTAGTGGAACATTTGATATTTACTTACATACTAAAGTGCATTATATTAAAAGACGAATGTTATCAAATATATTAAATAATAATAATTAAGAAATGATATTATTTAAAGCTTTTTTTTTAGAAAATCTTATTAAATTCTATTAAGGTGTGTGAGTTGTCTTTGTTAGTTGTAACTATGACTACCATTTATTTAGTATAAATATCTTTGATGTGGGAAATAAAAGTGACGTTATCCAAGTTGTTGATTGTCATTAAGTGGAGGATGCGATTATTATGTCGTAGTCTATTGAACAACGTGATGCAATGCAAAAATTGCGAGTACGTGCGGATTCGTATTTTACGTACTGAAACGTAATTTACGCGGAGCGGAAAATTTGTTGTCGAGATAACTTACTCATCGTCGTCTGGTCAAACTCACGTGATATTCAATGGTAAGTATTCATTTTCAAAATGGCTATGGCCGGAGGAGGAGCAACAATTCTTTAAATAATATAAAAAATCGAATTGGAACCTTCTCACCTCAACTACCTCGTCGCTGTGTGTAAAACAGAATAGAAAAAAATCGTGTGAATTCATGGCACAAAATAAAACAAAACCAAACAAAACAAAAAAGGAAATGAAGTCAGATATGACACGTAACAAATTTTGTTTGTTACATTAAATTTAAAAAAAAAGAAGAGAGTTTTGTTGTTTTGAATATGCATGTGTATAGAGGGAGAGAATGTTGTTGTTGTTTGTTAGTTTCGGAACTATTGACGCGCACCGGGGGCATTTCGAACGGTATGCGAAAATAATTAATTAAATATTTTGCAATTACACATAAACGGGATTTGCGAGCGGGAATAACGAAAGAGTTTGTGTTTGTGGTTTTTTTTTTGTATGTGTGCTGACAGTTTGTGAAGAGTAGAAAGAGATCCATGCAGAGGAAATATACGTAGTCTGGTTGACATACCCGATGGATGATGCGACTGGAGTTGCGATGTTGATGTTATTTGTTGGAGGAGGTACGGCCATCGCGAGTGCCTTGTACCTGGCCTGCTCATCTGTGGGCAGTACGATGTCCACAGATCGTGACCTCAGATTCACGCTAGGTCCAGCCGGCACTTCGAGGCTTATCCCCGTGTGCTTGACTTCTTCCGTCTTCTGCTGAGACACCTTCGAAAAGCAGGAGTCCACGGAAGCTGCGCGGTCCCGTTTAACGTCGGGCACCTCGAGGTACACGTTGCGATTCGTCATGCCGACGTGAATGATCATCGTCGAATCATTCGCGGAATCGCCGGATGGCGAGACATCCGAACGTCCATCGAAAGGACTCTCGGAGACGGCGTTGGAGGCTGCGGCTATCTCCGAGTTGCAATCCGAAGACGGCTCAGAGACATTTTCCGTGGAACCAGGTTCCGCAAAAAATGCCTCTTGCCGGTGTATGGACCTCCGTCTCGTCGGAGTGGTTGGAAGGTCGTCCGCGGGGAAGCACTCAATTTTAGGTGATAGTGGATATGGAGGAGAAGATTCGCTCTGGGGCGTCGGAATCGTTGGAGATAAGGTGACGGTGATGCTGCATTCTGGTACCTGCACCGCCAACATCGCCTCCTCTTCATCCTCTTCGAAATCATTATCATCATCACCATCATCATCACAATCATCGCTGTAATCGCTGTGTATATCGGTAATTGAGGTCGTATTCTGTGAAGAAAGTGGTTCTTCGTCCTGCACTCGTTTGCTGTATTCCTCTACGCAGAGGCAATGAACGCACGTGGGCGACTTGGAACCTGAAGAACGCCGTCTCTGGAACCGTCTGGGCACCTCGAGGAAGTTGCTCGTTTCCTCGCTGGTAGAGGCACCCGAGTCCACGCTCCGAGACCTCTGGCTGACCTGCGGCACTCGCAGCAGAGATCCAATGCCGGATGAGGAGTCGGGGCTGTTCTGCAGACTGTTCTGACTCCTTTTCGCCTCCAACTGGATCTCGTCGAAAGAGGCGCTCCTCACCTGCTTGGGTACCTCCAGGCTGCTCTGCGTCTTCATCTCGGCCCCAGTTGGCGTCCGCGAACGTTTGAATGTCGTCCGGAGCCGGTTCATCTTGTCTTCGTCGTCGGTGGTCGACCTATGGTCGGCCTCAAACCCAGCCCATTCATTCTGTAACTTCACCAACATGCAGCAGTCCTCAATCCATATACAAACAATTACAACGAACACAAACAAACAGTTCAAGCCCATTGCATAACGAATTCATTTTTATTAACAAAATCTACACGAACAATTCCCGCATATATTTTTTATTAAGAACAACCCATATATAACCAACACTTTCTATATTATATCGCAAATAAGCATAATACAGGATTATGTACTATAAACTAGTAACTTCATGACTATAAATTTGCTGACATGATGAAATGATGTAATTCTGCAATGCGCGTTCTGAAACTTGCAACTTTCCTTCCTATATACTTCCAAGAACAACAATAAGATATTTAGGATGAAGATGTAACCGTGGCTCCACTTGTGCCCGAAGTCCCGAGAGGCGCGACGTTTGCAAGTTATAATTGTAGGAAAATCGTAACTTGCTCGAGCAAAAGCAAATTTCCGCTCAGATCCGGAGTACTGATTAATTAAATCATTTCTTGCTGCCGTCGATCGATAACTACTCACCGCATTGAGTTTGACTTTTGGATTTACCTTTTCTTTTGTTTGTTTTTTCTTCTTTCTAACTATGCGCGATGATGGAACAAATCTGCATATAATTAATCGGAGACTCATTATCCAACACGTATACAAATATTCGCGATCTCGAACGCATCGAAACTTTGAACGAGATATACTTCGATGCTCCAAGTACTAACATCATCATCCTCGAAGTTATAATTATATTCTTTGTTTGGACGAAGTATTGGCATTATAACATAAAATTTCAACATTGTCAATAGCCGGTAATTGGTCATCAAAAATGATATAATGTGGAATGTTTATTTAATGCAGTTATTAAACTCGATTATGTAAGAAATAAAACGTGTACATTACGATAATTATAGTCCTAGTTAATAACTCGTAATTGGTAATGAAAGGTGAAAGTAATAAGAAAATAATATATTAAACTTTATATTTTTGTGAATTTCTGGAAAACTATGATAGTTGGAAATAAAATGTGTGAACTTTTTTTTTGTCAAAGTTTGTATAAAAGAAGTGAACTAATCCGCACTTGGATTTATCTGTTCCGCAGTTTGGTAAATATTAAAATTATATTATTATTCTTGAGCGAAGCAATTTCCTTTCGTTGGAAAATTCGTAATTGCTTCGTTAAGACGCGGATTGGACCGAGTCTTTGAAAATGGTTTAATTAGCGGAGAGAAAGTCCCTTTTTCGCTTTGATGACAATATATCCCTTTTTCTCTCTCTCCAAGTTTTCAATTTACCACAGGCACATAACTTTCCTTTGTTTTTTTTTTTCTCTTTCCTCCCTTATTTTCATTTCATATTCTTTGTGGTCGTTTTTGTTTTTCCCTTAATGGAAAATTGCACGGATTAGCGCCGATGATATCGCGCATTCAGACACAATGAAAACGCAAATCTATCAGGCGGAGAAGTAGGAAATATGCACGTGCTGCTTTCGAGTATTAGTTGTTTTTATCCTCTGCGCCTCCGCATCCTCAGAGCATTAATAATTTCTGCTGATTAAAATATCTCGAATATCTATAAAAATATCTATATATGCACGGCGAGTAAAAAAAAAACAAGAGAACTTTATAGAGAGAAAGAGCGAAAACAAACGCGGAGGTAAAATAGCAGCGAAAAGCGGAAAATAAAAATCAATTTTCTCTCTTCAGCGTTCCTTTGTTGCTGGCTGCATATGCAAGAGGAAGCAGCCACCTCTGCAGCAGCAGAGGCGGTAGATAAATATTTGGGAGAACTTTACAATAGACGCCTTTCGCAAACAACTCCACCATTCACATTATTATTTAGGACGCACAATGCGGACTTATTTATAAATATATATATATATCTAAAAAAAAATGAATAGAATGCGAGGAACCTAAATTGTTAGAGCTGAGCGTCGTCTGTAAAAGGGAGGGAAAGGGTGAAAAGTAAAGCAAATTTCCTTTGTGCCTTTTTCGCTTTCCTCGAACGTTATTATCCTCGTTGACGCGTATCAATATTGGCAATCAACTATTGAATGGATTCAACTTCCTGGTAGAGTCTTATGCAAATTGCGTGTCCGCATGTTAACTGGGTTATCTAATTTACATCCCAATACGCTCGTGTCGTTCACCAAAAAGAACAGAAAACCAGACAATATCAAGTTTTTCAGAAGAAAAAATTTTTAATAGGTAATGAATCTTATACATTTATTTTATAAAGGTAGTTATTTATTATTAATATTTATTCATTGCACGATTACGATTTAATTCATAAATTTAATAATTTTCGTTTAATTACTTTTTTTATAGAATTATTTAATGATTTGCCATAATTTCAGTCTAGATCGATTAGTTCATTAAACAATTTTAATCGTAATTGAAATTTCCATATATAATCCTCTATATTAAAAAGTAAATAGATAAAATAAATATTTTATGAAACGTGCATTTAATTTAATACGCTTGGATTACGTCCAACATGCAATATCCATATTTTTCAATTAATTTGAGCCGCTCTTAATTATCAATCTGGAGTGTACAGTTTATATGTAACACTCGTATTAACACACGTAATGCGCAAGAGTAAAGGTAAATTGATTGCACTTAACGTGTGTGCGTGTGTGTGTGACAGAGAGAAAGCGAGCTTTTATCGGGAAAGTACAATGGAAATTTGAATTAAGTTAATTTGCGAAAAACAATGCTACATCCATTTTCCGAGTAAAGCAATTTGCCACGAGGGAGACGCGTTTCCCGGAGGGATCATGTTATATTATTAAAACTAAAGTAATGGAAACGGAAAGCGTATTTCTGAAAGCATAGATTCGCGTTCACAACACGACCTCGACCAGTGTAATTTAGATTTTATTTCAAGAAAATAATGCAAAATATGCAAATGTCTTCTACAATATTAATTATGAAATAAGTTCTATCATATTTGATTATTTTAATTTCTTTTCTATTATTAACATTTATTACAGGAGATTAAAATTAATAGATTTTTTAATTTTAATTTGTATCTTAAGTTTTGTTTTCATCATTAATTCCGAACATTCCCTAATTATATTTTTCCCTTTTATTATGAAGACAAAGAAGGACTAAAAGTTGTAACAAAAACGAAGTTGAAGTGAGCAAAAAGAAGTATACGTATAATGATGGGGATGTTTTTAAATGGCCTAGGGTTCGGAGATCGAAGGCGGCGGTAATGGATCCGCTCTTAATTAATATCGATATAACAGACAGAACGTAACTGCAAGAACCCGTCTGGCGTTTTTGTTTTTGTTTTATATCCTCCCCACACATACAAATGAAGAGCAAAGCACCCTGAGGGTACAAAACCGATTTTATCGTTCATTTCGCCTATTTAATTATGCGATTTGTTTTGTCTGCGAAATTGAAAAATTGCAAATTCCAAACGGTTCCGGATGGATAATTGGTACATGGC